ACGGATCGCTCAGCGGGTCGACATTCAGCTTCTCCTTGCAGTCGCTATTACTCCAGCACTGACTATCGTCGCCACCAGTATCCAGTGTCGATTTTATGAGGGCTCTTCGTTGCTATGCATATCAGACTCGCCACTGCTGGACAAACTCAGCGAGATCGCCACCAAAGAAATAATTCCGATCGCGAACTAACTTTCAGCGCCGCTTCGTACAGGGAGTCTCACGCTGACAACTCTGGACCTAAGCCTTTGTCGCGACACCTGTCGCCATCGCTGTGTCTAAACTCAACCTCCGTGTGACGAGCTCTCACCTAGCGCTAAAATCAATTGACCAGAAACATTTTGAAGACACTTGAAACTCCTTTGACAACAAAGACACCCACTCGATCGAAAAAGAATCTTCAAAAGCCAGCTCACTGCGCATCACAAACTTTGACGTCACATTTTGATGATTGATATCAAGTACACAAGTGCTGGTTTTCGCTGGCCGGGGCTCAGCTATGAAAGCGGCGGATGCGAATTTCCCACCTGCAGATTCAGGCATGCAGAATCTGCAGAAAAACACCTAATTTTACTTCGATAGCGACTGGTTCAGGGCAAATTCAGGTCCAATTCGACAGCGTCGCACCCTTCAGTTTCACCCAAAAACACTAGGAAATGTATGGTAGATCCAAAATCGTACGCATTTTGCGTACGGGGACGACTGGCCAGAGTTCATGCACTGCAAACACCCATGACGTACCTGCAATGTTTTTTTGTTGTTTTTTTTGTTTTTTTTACTAAGTACACAACCTACTCGTCAGAAGGGGAGAAGACAATAGAATATACACTACGGAGGATTAGCAAGACGAAATTCGCGTTCGTGTCCGCACTCCAAGGAAAGTTGAACTCAGTGACGGAATTCGCGTTATGAGAAGGATTAGCCAAGAGAATTCGCACATGCATGACGTTGACAAGTCGTACATTGTGTACAGACAGTACAGAGTAGTAAATTTATGACTGTCCTCACACGAATCTGCGATTCGTGTTTCGACTACTTTTCGGAAAAGAAAAATGCGAAGGTTCGCAATCCAGTTCGCGAACCGAAAAATGTTCACGAACACGAACGCGAATTATTTCGTCTTGCTAATCCTCCGTACTAACAAAACAGCAGGGAGAGTAGGGGCTGGAAGGCAAGCCTGTGCTAGTGAGGCAAGCTCACAACACCGACCTATGATCTCGGCGTTAACCCTTTGTGTACCAGCCCCATCTCGAACCGTACCATATGGTACGGTTCGCTGCACTCCAATCAAGCGCGCCGTTCCCCGCCGCCGTAGCTCCGATCAACCCGCGGTTTTTTGCGCTTGACAGCTGAGATCCCACTGAAAATTTTGATGTATGATATGGGTAGGTTGCCATTTGAAAGTATGGAGAACGAACGCGTTCAAAAGTATGCTTTTCAGCGCAAACAATTGTCGCTGTTTCGATCGTGTTCTCGCTCAGTTTCTCTGCTTGTAGCGAAGATGTAGCTTGTTCTAGGTCATGTCGACGTCTTCTAGACGTGGTGGACGATTGGAGAGATCGGCTGTGGCGATATCATTGCGGAATGCGACTCGAAATTGAAAATTTGTATCGCTGATCCCATCGTAGTATTCACTCTCAAAACAGGAGCGAGAGGGAGGGCAGCGATGGCCTAAAATCGTCAAGGCAGGCGTAATTCACCAGCCAGCGACTGCTTCTTGTCTTCTCTTTCACTTACCTGACGCTGGATGTGAGTAGATGAAGAAAAATATAGATTTAGAATCTGAGACAAGAATTCAAAATTTGCAATTTTGAACCAATTGTTTTACCTCAAATGTGTGAAAATATGACCATTTCCCTGGTATGTTGTTACTCTTCATGCACTGAGACAACGCTTATGAGGTTGTTTTGTCCCTATGTTCCCAGTACACGAGCACAAACTAATTCTCAGTCTATTTGTTTGTGATACCCTGGTTGGTCAGAAATATGCACAATTGGCGCGTATCTTTGGTATTCCACCTATGGCCTTCATATACTACTGCATGCTGTACCAATATCCATGCTTACCTGGGTGCAGTGATACATATGGAGTCAGGAAAACACAACTTGCATAATACAAAAGTTGTCTAGATTTGATACCATGGTTGCTTCTTTGGCTGCGATAGCCCTTTACATACATTAGATGGCTGGTACATAAAGGGTTAACGTGAGCTTGCGCACCATAGCTTAAAATAATGGTTGTGTAGCTAAGGAGAATGCAATACTCGACTTACCGGTTCAGTTTCACGATTTATCCGACTGAAGGGAGCCTAGGCCATAATGAATGACAAGGTTCATGAAGTGGCGTTAGCTGATAGAGGAGAGACGGTATGGACGACAAACAGTAGCAGAAATTACGGCGGTCAAGAAACGGTTGCCACTCCATTTAATCGTGTTCTCCGCTGCGCCGTTCGTGCATGGCGAGGCTAGAGAGCGGTTTCGTGCCATCGGCGGAAAACGCACGACCCGACCAGAGTCCTGCGGGTTTCAAATCGAATTCATTTCCCTCACGGAATCGCTCGCATCCAGCAAGCGGAGCGACCTTTCACAATAGGTCAAGACTGGCTCGGCCATCTCGGACGCAGTACGGCCAAGTAATTAGTTACGGCACGAGTCGGCATCGACTTTGGAGGTCCGCTCTGCGGGCGGAAACACTTCCCTTCCTTGCATTTCGCCACTTGAGAATAGTCTTCTGCTGTCTTTAGCAGAAGAGATTGCAAACACCGCACAGTTGACTGCATCGCTGTTACCGAGACATGAGAGAGACAAGGCCAGCGTAACACACACAACTGCAGTACTCCTGACGGTCCTGTTCGACATGTTCATCCACTCTGGAATCTAAAGAAAAATGTCCGTCAAAATGATTGTGCACTGCCCCGAGCAATGCTGCCAGCTAAATGCTAGTACCGGTTGTTGACGTGCTAGTACCAGTAGGTCACAGTGGACCGTCTCAACCTAAAGGCATTATAAATCTTGCGTACTGTTCCAATACTCTACCCAATGGCAAAAGCACAACAGGTCAAAGCAGGACTTAGTCACTTTCGAAGAGGAAGAACTATGAAGTAGTTAGTTGGGAAAAGCAAGACGTAGATCTACACTGAGCTTCGGAACTGATGCAACTGCAGTGTTGTCCGTCTGCGACGCGGCTTGGCTAGGCTGGCTCGAAGAGTTAGCATGCACGCAGTATACAGAGAGGGCAATGACGTGACGTAAGACAGAAATCCGCGCGCAAGCTAGGGAAGTGATACACACACCTACAGACGTACAGTACAGTGCTAGCAACTGAAATCCGACCACCTGGGCTGTGCGCTCACATCGCAAAGAATGTGAACCCACCGCTCAGGGGTCGGATTTCAGTTGCCAGCACCGTACTTGTACTTGTACTTGTAAGTAATTAGTTAGTTGTAGCAGCTGGAGAGAGTCCTCTAGTAGGCTCTACCACACACAATACAAACCTGGCAATGCTGGCAAGAGCGCCGACTTGTTGCATGCTAGCGCCATGCTGGCTATCGGTAGTACTAGTAGGCGATAGAAATGTCGGAAACGTTTTCATAGTTTTAGGAGCTAGTGCATTAGTGGGTGGCGAGTGTTGGGTGAGTGGTTGGTGGGAATGGGCAGGTGGCACATCACAGTCATGCTCGAAAAATTGCCTGATTCTGCTCGAAAAGATGTGAATACAACCCTGACGGTACTGGTAGGTACTTCCTGCTCCTTTTGTTTTATCCACGTACCGATATTTTAATAATTATCACTCGCTCACTAGAAGTCTGAAGAAAATGTTGAACAGTCTCTGCTTGGATGACGACTACACCATAGCTCAGTGGTTAGAGCATCGCTGGCTACAAGCGAGGGTCCCTGGTTCGAGTCCTGGTGGTGACAGTCAATTTTTTCTGCAGACTTTTCCGGCGTTTGTCTCTTTCCCTCAAAACCAGTTAATTATCACTCTCTTATTATTATAATTATAGCAATAAAGAGAACAAATTCTGCAGTCATCGCCACACTACAACGAAGTCATGAAAGTTTACCAGAATTAATTTTCTTAATATTATGTGAAATGTTTCTAGCCAAGTAGCGTTTGCGCAGAGCATCATTCAGGGTTTCAACCAGACTCCTAGAGTATCTCCGTTTAAAATATGCAAATAATCGACGTGGAGACAACAATTTTATAATAGCAATAACGAGAACAAATTCTGCAGTCATCGCCACACTACAAAGAAGTCATTATGATTGACTCCCATTGATTTTCGCTACATATACACCTAAGCAGTCAAATATTCCTGCATAATTCACTCCTTAGCGCTATATTGACTGCTTATGGTTGCGCAGTTGAACGGTGCCTAGTGCAGCATGGTCACTGTATGAGTAGGTGGTGGTGCAACGAGTGTGAAATCATAAACCGGGATTCATGAGGTAATCGTTCTGGAATTTGAAATACCGACTGTTTGTCGTGATAAATCTAATATTGACTTCGTACTTGGTCAGTATAGGAAATAAAAGACCTCGGCTTCGCCTCGGTCTTTTACTTCCTATACTGACCTCGTACTCAGTCAATATTAGATACTTACCGGTATGCATGAAACATGCCAGACAAAGTACCAAATTCTGCGTATTTTCTTGCCAGTACTATCCCGGTCCGCCAAGTGCCCAGTAGCCGGTGAGTGCGTTTGATTATGCACGCGAATCGATCCCTGAATTGATTCGCGCTATTCACATCACCCCATGTGAATAGGGGGAATGGATTCCGAATCGATTCCATGATCCAGGGCTCATGACATGAAAATCGAACGACTTGAATGCATGCGAATGGATCATGAATCGATTCAAGTGCATAATCGAACGCAGCCACTGGAGTTCGCCGTTCGGACTTCCCATCCCAGTGTTTACAGGTCTACATGTAGGGCATAATTCCCGGCGTGGCATTGACTCGCTTGATGGGATTTCATTCAATTGAGCAGCAGAGTACATACTTCGAAGCGCATCATGTCAGAAATAGAAAAGATCAACAAGGGAATCTCGGGTGTTTAGCCAACAATAGATGTAAAGAGGAAAGGGACTTTCCCCTTTACATTAACAAGGGACGTTAGTTGTACGCTACATACTACTACTACTACTACTACATGATTGTACAACCCTTATGAATGCCATATCTTCGGGCTTGATCAGACTAATAGCAAAAGATCGATGTAATCAATTTTCTCTTCTGGCTTGATCATAATAACAGCTCAGGATGAAAGGAGAATAGCAGAAAGATGGAGGAAAGCAGATGACAGGGATCGCAAAAGAACGATCGAGAATGACGAAACATACTGGAATAATATTCAAGGAAATAGTTGGGACATTTCTAAACGACAAGAAACTGAGAGAGAGAGGCAATGCTGTGAAACCCAAAAGGACGAACGAAAACCACGAACGAAAAATGTGCTAATCGAGCTTGTTGCCAATTCTTACAATGGTCAAAGTTGCGATTTACTGCAATTGAGAATGTTCTTTCGTTTAACTAGACAATATACCCCGTTTTAGGGCTACCGTCGCTAGTGTTATTGCTGAGATTAAAGTAGTGGTGATTGGGATGCAGGTTGCGCTTGATCTGTTGGTCACGGTTCAAGCCATGCAAGGTGGGCACTGCTGTGTCTGCTACCGCCGCGGCGACACTAGTCGTCCTGTGCTTTGCTTGCTGGTACAGGATGCCCAAGGACAGACATTAGAGAGGTTAAGATGCTTGATATTTCTGACGCAACGCGACAGTTCAGCTCGCGCGTCGAAAAACAACGCGAGTGACCTGCAGCTAGCTCATGTCTAAATTTGAAGTTTTACGCCAAATTTGACGTGAAATTGCGCGTCACGTCGGAAATAACGTGCATCTTAACCTCTCTATTATTGGGCCACACGCCCGGCTTGTTTGCTGCTGCACGCCGTCTATGGGCCGGGAAAACCGGGTACTGTCGGCAAGGCATATCCCGCCACTACTGGCAGAGCTGGTGATGTTGATTGTGGCATGGGCGTGGGCGATACATGTACTGCTGGCACTACTGGTGATCTTGATTGTGGCATGGCCGTGGGAGATACCAATGGAGTTAGACTGGTCGGTGGCGCACGTGCCACCGTAGGTGTGGCATAACCAGCAACAACTGGCAGAGCTGGTGACGTCGGTGATACAGCAGTGGGCGATACAACACCGGGCGGCGATGATGCTCCATGCCACACGTTGGCTGGCTGCACGGGAGAGGGCGCAGCTGCTGGTGGCATTGCAGCAGGCCGGGGCGGCACGGATGATGTTGGTACCGGGGTCACTTGTGCCGGTGCCGGAGCGGGTGCTTTCATAGCAGCTGCCGCCGTTAGGGATTCGGCTGCCTTGGATGGCGGCCCTGCTGATGATACTGGTGGAGGTGATGCGGGTGTTGTCGGTGGCGACGCAGGTGACATTGGCGAGGGTGCTCGATCTTGCGATTGCGGCTCTTCAGATCCTTCTCCTGTACGAGATACAAACACATGGATATGGACATCTCGTCGGGCGTGCATCCCGCACATTTAAACGCGGCGGAACCCGTCCAGCCGTGCAAAACAATTTGGATAGAATTGAGGATGGTAATACATGGTACATGTGCTAGCACTAGGGAGGTTTAGTCCCACGTAATCCGTGTGTACTTTACGTGTGTGTACCACGTGATACTCAGTGACCCACGTACAGACGTTTTCTGATTCACGACATACCGTGTATGGCCGCTCACCCACGTTCCGCCAGAACGTGGGTGAAAATCAGAATGGAGCACATTGTGTGAGCTGTGAGGGTGCTCAGCTGAAGAAGTTTCCGAAGCACGAAATCAAAATATTGGATGAGCTTCTTAGGCCCGGGTAGCTTCGTCTTTGACCAGGTTTGGGCCTTTTGCTTCATGCTTTTGTTTGTTCCGTGTGACTAAACACAACATTGCAACGTGGGTGCCCTTCATCCACTTTACGTGGATCACCCACGTACGCATTTCCGTTACGTGGGAACTAAACTTCCCTACTCACTCACTGGTACATGTATATGTACCTCTATGAAAATTTAGACTGGAATATCGGACACAAACAGAATAACAAACTCGGAATATCCAGCATTCGCTGCTCCCAAAAATTCGAGTCAAACACACACAGGAGGTGGCAGGGTCGTGGGAAGGTAATTTAGTGTGGTACGGTCAGCCATCTGAAGTACAATTTACTCGTGTGTGTGGGAGGGGGGGGGCTGAGCTGAAAATTTTGGAAAATTAGAGCCCAAATCAGTGCATTTTATTGATTCACGGGGTATTTGGGTCAAATAGTGGTACGGTCAATACCGTAGTGACCGTACCGTGTGCGACGCCCCTGGATGGTGACTTGAGTACTTTAGAAAATACAACCGTCCCCACCATTCTAGCCTTAGCTAGACATCACAAACCTTTTGCGCCGTCTGTCGATGTCTGTGAGTTCTGCAGAAACTGGATCATCTGCTCGCTCTTCTCCGGGTAGCCCATCTCGCGCACAATCTTGCTTATGCCGTGATACGCGTCGTGCTCTCCCGGCTCTACAAGCAGAAGAATCTCCGTGTTGTGCGCCTGAGTGCCGCGTTCGCTCAGGACCTTGGCGAGGTTGTCAAGGGCATCCTGCTTCGTGAGCAGCTGGTACTGCTGAGTCAGGTTCCGGAACCGCTCCGGTGCCAGAGTCGTGATGAGCGGTTGAATTTCGCTGATGAACTGTATCGAGCGGAACGGGTTTACTGCAGCGAAGAGAAAAAAGCAAACAAGAAAGGCCGGATACATACTGCCGAGTTTCTTGCGCCCATAATTGTGTGTATAAAGCAAGGGCATACTAATCAATTGCGGGCCAAAGCTATAACAACGCACGTCAGCAATATTCACGATACTGGCGTACAGACAGGTGCATGTGCAAACACTACATACAGGATAGCCAAATGCTCTCATGCACACGCACACACACACGTGCGCACACACACACACGCACACACACACACGCACACACGCGCACGCGCACACACACGAAGACACGGCAGTAAGTCGGTACGTACATCTAAACTTTTCTCCCATCTCAGGTTTATAGTGTTACGACGGCGGGACTTCACATGCACTTTTTTTTAATACCGAATTGCAAAGTCCAGCAGAGAACGTAATGTGAAGACAGAACCAAGGGGAAGACATGAAAATACTGCGAGAAGCAGGAGCAGCATGCTGATGAATTGGGCCTACCTCCCCCAGTGTGTGGTTCAATAATCGGCTAGCTCGAAAACAACAACCTGAATAAGTGCAAAAACAGTGACGACTGGATCGACTGGAGTCCCCAAAGCAGGGTTGTGTTGAACCCTCTCGCTACTAGGCATATGCGGATAATGCAGGTAGAAAAATTGGCAGAATTCGGTACTTTTTCTGGTAAGTTTCATGTATGTTCGGTACGTGGATAAAGAAATGGAGCAGAATTCGAGAATTGCCCACCATAAGGATTGTATGGTTCTGCCGATGCCACTGCTTTTCGAGCAGAATCTGCCACCTTTTCGAGCATTATCCGCACACCCCTACTCGCTACCATGCATGCACAAACTCAGTGTGCAGAAATGGTTTTAAAAACATGGGTTTGTCACGTGACATGACTTTCTACTGCCAGCCCACCATACTATTACTAGACGCGGACATACATGTACATGTGTACATGTACAAGTCCTGTGTAATGCACAGTCGACATACATGTAAATGTACTTGAAGTGGTGGTGAACCGAATGTCACAAACCCAGTAGTCTCAGCTGTCCATTAAACACCACCAAAGTTGAACACATTGCGGTAAAAGTATAGCAACAACATACCTGTGGGGGACAACATGGAGAGCATTTCCTTGCTCTTGTCCTCATACCCAAGTTCCTCAATGACAACACCGAGAACACGATAAGTCTTTAGGCCACCAGCTCTGAGCAACTGGATGAGGTCCTCATTATGATCACATTGTCCATTCAGGGACCGAATTCTCTTTAGTCTCTCTATTGATGCGCTGTCAGTTATGAGACGTTTCTGGATCACCATCCGTCGCAGTCGATCTGCGTCAACTTTGTTCAACCATGGTTGAATGTCACACACAAACGTATCCAGGTCAAACGGATTGTCTGTTGCTAAAGCAGCAAAACACAGAAGGCACAGATGACACATGAACACACAACTACACACAACTACATGTCAAGAAACAAATAAAAATGGAATTGCACAACACCGATAATACAAGGAAAGGAATTTGAGTGGACACACCCATTCCCATAGCGCTGCACATCCGAACAAGTTCCGTTATTTTACAACGTTTCGGCACTTGACCATCGTCAGGTAATAAGAACAATGGACACACACACACACTCACGCCGCACACGCACACACACACACACACACACACACTCACGTGCGCACGCACGCACACACACACACACACATTCCCAGAACCACACATCGGAGCGCTTCAGCGATTGTTTCAATGGACAGCTGGGAGTGTTCTTTTCGACCTACCATACATATCTTAGTTTTTGAAAATATCCCAGAAATGACTGAGTAACGATCGATTAAAATCTTGAATAGATCCCAGGGGATCGACAGTTGTACGGTCCGTACACAAATGAATGAAAAAAGCACACATGCACAATGCCTTGTGCTTACAATCCATTGAGGGGCTGTGTCTGTGTCCAGTATCTCGCAACAGCACAATCTTGCTTGTCTTGCGCTCGCCTGTCACTGCGGGGCCTGGTGTTAGTGGTATGGCTGAAGGACACACACACGTTACAGACAGATACTAGTCAAGAGAGATCAGCCGTTGTGTTTGCTTTGGAGCAGTTCGTTTTTCAACTGATTATCATAAAAATGGATCCACGATGAAATATGCCCGGTGGCCATACACTCACAGGCGCGCGCGCGCGCGCGCACACACACACACACACACACACACACACACACACACACACACACACTCACTCACACACACTCATTGACACGCACTCACACTCACGCGCACTCACCACACACACACACACACACACACACACACACACACACACACACACACACACACACACACACACACACACACTCACACACACAAACACAAGACACAATAGCGAGAGTTCCCAGATTGCCTAGAGTGCTCAACACCACAAGGATGGAGCATTACCACAAAGGCAGAAGAGAACAGAGACAGCCGGCTAGGTCATTGTTGTAACGCTGCGTTTCATGCACATAGCAAAGCTAAGGCAATCCTCAGACAACTGATAACCTGTACACCATCTGGGTCCAAATTTATACCCAGGCAGGTAGCTAAAACAGGGCGCGCAAAGTGAGTGAAGCGCGGAAAAGCAGGTGGCATAGCGCGCAAAGGTGGCAAAGGCGTGACATTAGTGTGACATTTCAAGTGATACGTTAGTTAGGGAGACATGGTGCGGATGGTGTCGGTTATCACATGGAAAGGTGAGAAAAGGAGGGAGAGAAGGGGGGGGGGGTGACACACATGTAAATACCGGTAATGCATAATCTCTGCCCTCCCTCCTCCCACCTTCCTTCACATTCGATTCTTTATGGATATCGGGATATCACAAAGTAAGACCACCAAGACCATTGCATTGCGTGTCTCATAAAACTCGGATAGACTGTCGAGAAGTTGAACACGGCAAGCTAAGATTTGCTTGCACATGACTGTATTAAATTATTCCTTCAGGGAATATCATTGAATCCGACCAGAACACATAGGCTGCCAGAGTGTGGCAACCTGAGCTCGAAACAGCTACTAAAATAATACAGATGTAAGCCGATAATGCCACGATACAGCGAGCGCATGCATGGTGACTGCAGCTTTATCCAGCCGCTTCATTTTTTCTCGATCGCCGACTTTCGATCTTTTCACTGTGTACTCGACATGCATGAACTCTCGACACAAGATTCACGTGACGGTAACTTCGGCAAATGAGCAAGTAATAGTTGCCCACAGAGGAACAGAGGTGCTACAGTACAAAATGCATGACACTTTAAAAATAAAAATAAACCCTACTAAAATCTCACCTGTCGTCTCACCAGTAATAGGGTAGAAGTACTTGAACGTCAAACGTAGCGTTACGCTAAGGTTGCTTTAGCTGGTGATGGGCGCGGCTATATGGCCGGCTAGCGTGTACGAAACAGTTCGAGGATCTCGAGTATGAAACTTGTCCGAGCTCGGCTAGGCATATGGTGGTCCTAACACTTAATTAAGACAAATACAAGGAGACTATTATTTATATTGCTTCTCTCCGGATGCTGGAAAAAAAGAAGATGAAGCGCAAAGCAGGTCTCAAAGATAAACACTGCCTTGGGCAAAGCATGTCGACGATACTAAGTACTATCTGATGGGGAGCATCACGTTCGGACTTTTCAGCGGTGACAGGCGCGCGAGGCCGAGGAACGCCAAGAACAGTATTCAGTTGTTTACAGTCTGTATCTCGCAGAAGATAGGTTCTAGCTCTAGTCTGCAATCAGTATCTAAGCCAGCGTTGTGCATTCTTGGGGCGCCACCGTGTCTTCTCGAAGTCCCGATTGGCGAACCGTTCGTGCTTGCGTCTGAAACCGTCGTTGGGTCTCGTCTGGTCACAAGACACCTTTACGACTGCATACAACCATAATAAATTATCGGACTAGTGTGTGTGTGTGTGTGTGTGTGTGTGTGTGTGTGTGTGTGTGTGTGTGTGTGTGTGTGTGTGTGTGTGTGTGTGTGTGTGTGTGTGTGTGTTTGCCTGCGTATGCATTTGACTGCCTGCCATGTTTCAGTTGACAGACTGCGTTTTCTGTGCACGCAACTATTAAAATGTTCGTCTTTCGTGAACTCATCAGCGCTGCACCCAGACCGAGAACGGAAGCCAAACGACTTGACAGCAACGAAAAAATACTTGTCAAACGTGACCGTCAAGGGCACTCACACATGCCACTTCAGTCTACTCCTTATCTCACGATCACACAGAACGCGTGCCCCCACGCCAAACGTCATTCGCACCTGAGTCTGATGGTCCATTCATTGGCGTCCGTTTGATACTCTTTCGTCTGGGGGAAAACCTGCAAGCCATCCACGAGATCAAAAGAGCACAACGATTCGCACACACTCTCTCTAGTTTTCTGATGTGTAGATAACCATTCGGACGAATACACCTGTCAAAGTTGTTCTCAAGCCATCGGACTGGACATCGTACACCATGCAATGGTATTTGGAACTGTTGTGCAATATTGAACTCGGATAATGAGCCAGTATTTAATGTAAAATAGAAGAAGAAAACACATGGGAACGAGATCGCACGGTCTGACTGCTCATTATCTTGTTACAGTCGTGGATAGTTGCTTCTTAACTCGTTTCCATGTGATTTCTTCTTCTATATTGGGCATATTACATCTTTGTTTTCGCTTTCCGGACACGATTAGCCTCTGACTCGATATCTCAGGCGCAGCAGCAACGGTATTTTGGAGCTGTCGTGCATTTATGCATCGCTCGTGTTGAGTTCGGACATGATTTGCAGACAATGCATTTGATCGTAGCTTTGTACGTGTATGTAACGGCAAAAGTTCCTATTGTTCAGTGGTGGCGTCAAGGTGACTAGGTTGCCACGTGACGGCATGTTTTAACAGTAACCGTGCAGGTGTGGATGGACCATAGCAATATGGCATACAACTGACAAGTACAAGTACAAGTCGGTAGAAGGAGATGAAAAGATACTGCACGAAACCCCAGACCGCATTTTGGAGTCGCTGGGTCTAACCCCGATCCGAGAATGACTTCACACATTACCTCCAACAAGATTGCACGATTGTACTGGGTCTGGAAACGTGATTGTGCGGAGCCATCTCCGAGGTTTTCTTTACTATCTCGGAGGATAATCGACATGTGGACATTTGTCGAAGGTTCTATGGATTCATGAATCAAACTTCGTCGCTACTCTCTTGGATGAATGTGACTCATTTTGACAGTTAATGTTAGCGTGATGAACTTCATCATGGCATTCATGATACAACAGTCCTGGGACGAAGAAGCACCAGAGAGACATGCATGGGAACCTGCTTCAAGAAGAATGCCGCTCGGGGTCAGAAGCGTAACATTCGCATCAGCAATCCTCAGCCAGCAGTGATCTGGTCAACAGTGCGATTGGTGGCTCTAGGGCCTTCAGCCATGTGTCACGTGATCACATGAAAGCAATATTAACGGGGTTGATCAGCCCAAAGATAAAGCAGCCAATCAGACTGAAGATCACGAACATGATCACCTACAGTAGACAGTAGAACCTGTCCTAACCGGACGCCCTTGGTGCAGTGAAAACTGTCCGGATATGACAGGATTCCGCTTGGTCCAGGGTTGCAGGTGCGATCAAGAGCACTGTGCGCTGTGGTGCATGAAAAGTTGTCCGGTCCGTGCAGGATTCCGCTTGGTACAAAGTGGAGCAACCACATGTTTTACCGTATCAAAGGGTTTGTGTTTTTTATTTTATTTTATACGAAAGTCCACTATATTCCCGAATATGTGCGAGAAGTGGTGGCGGGGCCGTTTGTTGTGCAGGGCTTGCAAGGAGCGAGTGGAAGTAGTGGCTGCAGTGCAGGGGCCACTCGCAATAATTATTATTACCCAATAGTAGTTATTATTATCATCACGTGCATGCTGACCGATGTCGCTGACAGATTCCTAGTTGCTAGTGTGCCGGGAGGTAGTAAGATATCCACTCCCTGGCTTTCGTGTTATGATTATGACATGGCCACAGACTGATGTTACTCTGGTGACACACGCGTCGTTGCAAGGCATCGGTCCGCCTTGCTGCTTCACAAAGTCAATTTCGTATCGCAATCCTAGATTGGCTAGGGCACCCCGTAAGGAGACCATAGGTCTGTGGGGACTGCCCTAGAGAAATATGAATAAAATACAATCGATGTCACAACTACTACTAGTATCATTATCGACTGTTCACGTTCGTACTGCTGTCGCTGTCAGATTCCGATCAAGTCAGCTGCGCACCGTGCCTTGGCAAGAACCCCCGGGATAGCATCACGAGCTACACAGCTGGGCAATGAATGGAAACTTACTTACTTGATTCGTGAACACTGGTGTCCCTGCCCCATGGCCTAGGCGCCGCGTGGCCTGGCATACGTCTAACCATGAAGGGCGTCTCCGAACCGGAGACGGTTTGGATGGTATGGTGTGCGAATTCGTCCAATCAGGTCAAAGAATAGGAATGATGACATCAACCGAAGGCTCGATACCGACACAGAAGAATCTCGACGCCTCGACCATTAATCCCTCTGTTCCATTCACCAAGGCGGTGCCATTCTTCGTTCTTACAAGTTCGTCTTGTCGTTGGATTGTGCTGAAAGTCGCACCACAAACAGGCAGTACCGGTACTGCCTGTTTGTGATACATGTGAGCGCTCTTCTCTCTTTGACTTGTCGTTTTGTCCGCATCGTCCAACGCAGTCACTTACACATGTACTTCGAAGTATGAAACTTCACTCCTCAATTCCAATAACCGTCTCTTTACCGCCACGCCGGTCTTGATCTACCAGTGTCCTCCACTGGTTGTTGATCGAGTGGCCTGAGTGACCAAATTCACTTGGCAAAATGGCTCCATGCCCATGTTGCTGATTAGAATTACATGTCGCACAGAAAGTGAAGCGAGGTGAGGGGTGAGACCCCGCATCGTATCAACCAATCAATCGTGGCACGACTGCAACTGGCCAATCGCCACTTTGAAAAGGAGGAGGTCAATGGGGATGTCTCCTAACTGCACGGTCCAAGCACTGACCAAACTAGGGACATCGGTTTGGTCGCAGCACCTGAGCCATTCTCAGGTGGGAAGCCAGCTGATCACGCCATAAGTGAAGGAGACACTAGTTTCTAGGTTAAATCTCGATTTGTTTTAGCCTCCTTGTACCCTGACAATTGGGAAGCCAGCAGGTCACACCCAGACGTGCAGGAGCCCCTTATTTCTAGCTGAAATCTCGATTTGTTTTAGCTCCCTCGTACCCTGAGAATTCTACGTTGCTGACCCCGAGCGTCATTCTTCGTATGACGATTTTCCCTTTTCTCTCTGGTGGTTCTTCGTTCCAGGGTTGTTGCATCATGAACACCATGATGAAAGTCATCACAATCATGAAGGTGCTTAGAATCATCCAAGAGGGCTGCAATTCAGTTTTCATCAAGTAGACAATCAGCTGGGGGTAATTGGCGGAGACGAACGCGTAGCCAACGATTTGGTTCCTGAATCCATGGAACCTTCCACAAATGTCCGCAGGTCAATGGTCCGCTGAGTTCGCTCCGAAACATCACGCTTCTCACATGATCTCATGCAATCTAGATGAAAGTAATGTGTGGAGTCATTCGCGGATCGGGGACAGACCCAGCGACTCCAACAGGCTGTCTGTGGTTTCGTGCAGTGTCTTTTCATCTCGTTCTACCTATGCCGATACTACCACGGTCAGTCCACACGTGCACGGTTACTGTTAACATGCCGTGGCAACCTAGTCACCTTGACGCCACCACTGAACAATGGGAACTTTTGCAGAAACAAATTACAGTCAAACCTCTTTAGGACGAGCACCAGGGGACCGATGATATTAAATTTTTTGTTTGCAATAACGGGAGTTCTTTTTATCCGTACGGTATACCCAGTGAATACACAGTGATTTATCCAATGGAGTTACGAATACTAGTTCTTCTTTAAAAGCATTTTTTTTGTCTTATCAGTGTTCTTCCTAACCAGGTTTCACTGTATACGAATATAGGAATGCATTGTCTGCAAATCATGTCCGAACTCAACACGAGCGATGAATAAATGCACGACACTCGACAGTTCCAATACCATTGTTTCCTGTGAGATGTCAAGTCAGAGGCATTGTCTGGAAAGCGAAAAACAAAAATGTATTGCACAACAGTTCCGAATACCATTGCATGGTGTTGTACGATGTCCAGTCCGATGGCTTGAAAACAACTTTGACAGGTGTATTCGTCTGAATGGTTATCCACACAACAGAAATCTAGAGGGACTCGTAGGTTCGAATCTGTGAGCTCTTGTGATCTCGTGTATTTCAAGTTTTCCGCCAGACGAAAGAGTATCAAACGGACGCCAATGAATGGACCATCAGACTCAGGTGCGAATGACGCGAGGCGTGAGGCACGCGTTCTGTGTGAGATCAGATATGGAGTAGACCGAAGTGGCATGTGTCGGTGTCCTTGACGGTAACGTAACCGGGGTTTGACAAGTATTATTTTTTCACAGCTGTCAAGTCGTTTGAACTCAGTTCTCGGTACCGCACTGATGAGTTCATGAAAGACGAACAAGTTGATGCATATGTTCAACAGATGCGCAGTCTGACAACCAAAGCTTGACGGGCAGTCAAACACACACGCACACACGCAAGCAAACACACACACACACGCACACACACACACGTACTATTCAGATATTTAAAATAATTATGGTTGTACGTAGTCGTAGATGTTCGTTGTGAGCGGACGAGACCCTACGAGACTTTCAGACGCAAGCATGAACAGTTCACCAGCCAACACGTGCTGGTTTCTGCACCGGTCATATTGTCTCGTCCGGTCACAAGAACATCTACCATTGCCTACTATCAAGAGTAAAAAAGCTTATAATACCCTTGCTACTGTTTAAAGTACATATGATCAAGAGGCTTCAACATGCGATATGGTTGAATGATCAAGCTACCCACAGACAGACCCAGGCCAGACCTGGTCCAAGTGACAGCAGGATCTGTCGAACCAAGAACGCACAACGCTGGTTTAAAATAATTGGATGCAGGTCTAGACGAGAGTCAGACCCAATCATCCCGTGAGCACTTGAATACTGTTCTTCGTGTGCCTCATCCTCCCGAGCCTGTCAACACTGAACTGTCCGAGGGTGGTGACGCTAATCAGATAGTACATAACATCGTCGACATGCTTTGCCCAAGACAGTGTGTATTCTTTGAGACTTCCTCTGCGCTTCATCGGGTTTTTTCCGCGTCGAGAGAGAAGCAAAATAGTTTAGTCTCCTTGTTACTCTCTTAAAGTGTTAGGACCAACATACCTGCAAGCCGGCCAGTATAAGTAATTACGAATTACATACTCGAGATCCTCGAACTGTTTCGCCTACGCTAACTGCCCGTCATCAGCTAGCCAGACTTAGAATAACGCTACGTCTGACGTTCTAGTTCTTCCGCCCACTAGCGTGTGGGACAAGAGGTGAGGTTTTAGTAAGTGTTCGCGCCTACCGTAGCTCCTCTGCTCCTTTGTTGGCAACTTGCTCATTTGCTGAAGTTCGAATTTATTGTGAAGTGAATCTTCTTAGTTAACAATCACGCTCTCTGTCTCTGTCTGTCTGTCTCTCTCTCCCTCTCCAAATTTAACAGTTGGCATCCCGAGTAGCTGTTTCGTGCTCGATTAGCCAAACTCGGGGAGCTTGAGTTTTCAAGTTTTTAAAAAGCTGATAGTCATACTCTCTTGAAAGAGTGAACATGCAGCTATCAGCGTGCCGTGTTAAACTTTTCTTCATTCTGCCAGAGTGTTCTGAGGTACGCTGTCCTTTTCCTTCTCATTACTTGTTATATTTGTGTGATAATCGGCATCAAGACAAGCATTGAATGTAACGGAAGTTTGGAGGAGGGGCGTAGATATTATGATTTAAAAAAAATTCTATCATGGTGAGAGACCGAGAGAGAGTCAGGGAGAGAGACAGAGACAGAGAGGGAGACAGAGACACAGAGACACACACACACACACACACACACACACACACACACACACACACACACACACACAGAGAAAGAGAGAGAGAGAGAGAGAGAGAGAGAGAGAGAGAGAGAGAGAGAGAGAGAGAGAGAGAGAGAGAGAGAGAGAGAGAGAGAGAGAGAGAGAGAGAGAGAGAGAGAGAGAGAGAGAGAGAGAGAGAGAGAGAGAGAGAGAGAGAGAGAGAGAGAGAGAGAGAGAGAGAGAGAGAGAGAGAGAGAGAGAGAGAGAGAGAGAGAGAGAGAGAGAGAGAGAGAGAGAGAGAGAGAGAGAGAGAGAGAGAGAGAGAGAGAGAGAGAGAGAGAGAGAGAGAGAGAGAGAGAGAGAGAGAGAGAGAGAGAGAGAGAGAGAGAGAGAGAGAGAGAGAGAGAGAGAGAGAGAGATAAACAGAAAGTTTGTGAGCGTATGGCCACCTGAGACATTATAAGTATATCCATTGACGATGGCTCCATAGAAAGCTTACGTAACCAAATCACTCCGTGTGCACGTCTTGTTTAGGCTCACCAGTCACCAGGTCCTGCTGAGAGTCACGCTAGCTTGTGCTGCGAGACACTGACCACGGTCGCAATGGAGAGTGAGTATTTACTAGTTCCTTGGTATTAGCCAAGTCTACGTCATGTACTCTGGACTAGTGAGCAGTTATCATGTTTCAAAACGTCAAAGAATCGTACACATAACATAATTCGGAGACAAGTCGCAATTCCTTGACACAATCCGCTCCCGGTCCCCACGCAAATACCGGGTTACCAACCATGATCATGTTGTCTGGTGATTGCATAGTACGAGTTGTGCATGACACGCTGAGTTACAACCATAACTATACTATTACTATAGCCTTTCTGTCATCATGATTGTGAAGTTCATCCACCGTCCGGCCGTAGAGGGCTCAATTCTATTATTAATTTTACCGACAGCAAAGAGCGAAATACACAGGCGAAAGAACGACGTGCAGTTGTTGCCTTTCTGTCATCTGCTGACTGTGCAAATTGCAGCACATGTCATGCACAGTTTTATTGGAGCCTGAATTGAAGTGTGTCCTTTTTTCAGTGTTATTATTATGTACGAGTCGTACATGGGTTCCACCACCAGTGCACCACACTCACCCCAGTAGTATCTGGAGAATCTGATAATGACTGTGGATTTTGTAGAAAAACAAAACAAAACAAACATAATAATAATAATAATACTGTCGCGGACATGGAAATCCAGTCGATTGACCGGGGCCGGCGCCCTCAGCGCGTACAGAACGTAAGTCGTTGAGTGCACAATCATGTTGGTCCTGGCCTATGCGACCACGGACCAGCAGCTAGCTAGCAGCGCATACCTACTACGGCTGCATGGCCAGCGCCCTGTGGCCGCTAGACGTGCGACCGGATTTCCATGTCCACGACAGTACATGATTATTGATGGTGTTGCGCGGTGCACGCTCTGCCTGTGATCTGCACGCCCTCCTTGCTGTTTCTTGTCGCTTCAGCGAACCCTTTCCGTTCGGAAGAGTTCGTTTGTGACATTCTGCCATGGATCACCACTCTGCCAGCAGACCGGTTCAGGAACCTCGCCCAGAAGAACCACATTATCCGGACCATGGAGAGCATCAACAGCCTTTCTCATATCCGCATGATGAACGGGTCCGTGGCGCACAACTTGAAGATCATTGCGCTCGCCTCGCCGGGAGAACACAAGGCGTATCTCGAGGTGTGCGAGATCATCCGCCAGATAGGCTACCCGGAAAAGAGTGACGAGATGCTCAAGCTCTTGGACAGCCTCAAAGGTTTGTACCTGGTCCGGCTAGAAATTGAATGTTGGGCTTGAATGCATAAAAAAAGCACTCATTCATTACCTTCGATTATGGTAGCACATCCGCATGCCGCGTGAGGAAGACCACCACCGTCTGTGGATTAAGGCGCGGATACAGCTCCTAAAGCGGTCAGAGTTGACTAGATCAGCCCCTCCAAAAATTGGTCAAAGAACGAAAAAATCCAACCCCCTGTTTTCCTTGGTGTCAGATGTTAGTAGCGCCAGGAATTTCTCATTCAGTGCCGGTTTGAAAGTCCGGTTTTAAAATGTTCTTTGAGTCATCCTCAATTCTCTCCAAAATTGAATTCGGATGTTGAGCCAAAGTAATCATGGATAAAAGG